GGCGCGCTCTTCCACGAGCCCCTTTGTGCCGATGTGGTCTTCCGCCTGCCAGGAGGCCACCAGCTCTTTGCGCATAGAGTCTACCTGGCCACGGCCTGCTCCCGATTCTACGACCTCTTCGCGCTGGACTTGGGGGACGAGACAGCCGGCGGGAAGGAACCCGCCGGGCGGACAAAGAGCTTGGACGCAGCGGACCAGGGATGCCTGGCCACAGCCACGCAGGCCGTGCCGCTGCGTCCCTCTCAGAGCGACGAGCCGCTGTGCGCCCCTCGGATGCCTCGCCCGGCCTCTGGTTGGGGCCGGGGCATCGTTGACGTGCAGCAGGAGAGAGTGCGGGATCCAGTCACGCAGCAGGAGAAGCCGATGACGGCCGTGTACCTGGAGGAGCCGGTGCAGCTGGGCCCTTTCAAGGTGGTGCTGGAGTACCTGTACACCGGGCGCCTAGATCAGCCCCAGGCCAGCCTCATGCAGGTGGCCGCCATGGCCGAGCTGCTGGAGGTGTTTGACTTGCGCATGATGGTGGCCAATGTCCTCAACAAGGAGAGCTTCATGAATCGCGAGATCACCAAGGCCTTCCATGTGCGCCGGGCCAACCGGATCAAGGAGTGCCTGAGCAAAGGCTCCTTCGCAGGTAGCAGAGAGGAGGAGGAGGAGGAGGGAAGCTGGAGAGCAGCTCCCGTGGGCGGCCCCCTCCCCAGCACTGACCTCCCCTCTCTTCTCCACCCCCTGACCCCTGGCAGATGTGGTGTTCCTGGTGGATGATGGCTCAGTGCCAGCGCACAAGCCCCTTCTGCTCGCCGGCTGCGACTTCATGGTGGCCATGTTTGGGGGCACCTTCCGGGAGAGCTGTGCTGCTGAGGTGAGGCAGGTAACCCTGCTGTCGCTTTATAAGGAGGCAGGCTTGTGCAGGGGGGCAGCCTCAGCTGCTGTGCGTGTGCCGTTGGGGGGCTCCCCAGGTGTGTCTCAATGGTGTCTCCTAGGTGGCTTTTGGGAGGAGTGTCTTCCCTGCCTGGGTGCATGGAAGCCCCAGCTTGGTCCCTAGAGACCCCTTGCCATGTGGAGGGTCCCGGGTGGCAGGAGACCACAGGGCCTGCCAACCCCACTCTTTCTTGGGGACAATTGAAAAGGAGGAAGCCAGGGGTGGGATTCAACTTTTTTAAACAAGTGGTTCTGTGGGCGTGGCTTAGTTGGTGGGCGTGGCTTGGTGGTCATGTGACTGGGTGGACATAGCTTGGTGGTCATGTAACTGGCTGGGCGTGGCCAATTCAACATCACTCACACTGAGGCACGCATCTCCTCGCCTGGCCTCTCATGACTGTGGGGATGCTGCAACAGTCGTAATGTGAAAAATGGTCATAAGTCACTTTTTTCAGTGCCATTGTAACTTTGGTCACTCCACACAAGCAAAGTACCAGCAAAGGAGGGGGAAAAATAACTCCAGAAAAGTTCCTGAGACAGGAAGTCCAGTCCTGCCAAGAATGTAATAAGGGTTAATGGAGAGGCAGTTTCTGTAAGCAACACCAGAATATTTCCTTTCTGCCTTCCTTACAGGATTAGACCAGTAATTTCTTCTAACAACTGGTTCTCCGAACTCCTTAAAATGTTAACAACCGGTTCTAGCGAATAGGTGCGAACTGGTAGAATCCCACCCCTGGAGGAGGCTGCCAGGGCCAGTGTCCCGGCAGAGGAGCAGGAGGGGCTTTGGTGCTGTCCCCGGTTCTGAGGGGAGGGACAGCCAGTCCCATCACTCCTCCCCCCCAACACTGTGGAAAAAAAATATCTGCCCCCAAAGGCCAACCTTCTCCCTAGCCTGCTCTTCAGCACTGCCTCCACCCCACCCCACCCTCCTCGCTTGCCGGGGACTATGGAGCCGGCAGTTTTCTGCTTCAAGAGGAATACCTCCCGAACTGCCAAGAACAGCTGCCAGAGGTGAAGGGCAGCAGCATCTGACGCCTCCCTGAGCGTTCACTCTTGCTGTTCCCCAGGTCTCCCTGCCGGGCACCAACTGCGCCTGTCTTCGGGCTGTGCTGGAGTTCCTGTACACGGAGCTCTTTGTCCCGAGTCCCGACCTGGATGCCATGGAGCTGCTGGAGCTGACCAACCGCCTCTGCTTGACCCGCCTGCAAGCCCTGACCGGTGAGTCCTTTCGGGGCTCCCCTCCGGGAGGCCTTCTGGTCACCAAGGGCAGGGAGCAGGCGTTTCACGGGGCCGCGAAGAAGACCGCTCCGCCCTGAGTGGCATTGCTTCCCCTCCTTTCCCAGAGCAGTACGCAGTGGACGAGCTGGTGCGTGCCAGCCTTCAGCAGGTGGAAATCGATGCCCAGGTGATCCTCTACCTGGAAATGACACAGGTATGCTGCAGCCTCACCTGGACTGACTGCCACCTGGCAGGAAATCCGAGGGGAGGCTCCCTGCGAGTTTAGGTTTTAAATCCCACACTTTTATTATTTTTATAAACAATTCAAGGTGGCGAAGGCAATACTCCTTCCTCTTCCTCTTCTTCTCAGCCCTGTGAGGTGGGCTGGGTTGAGAGAGCGACTGACTGGGCCAAAGCCCCCAAACCGGCTTTCATGCTTAAGGCAGGACGGGAGCTCACTGTCGCCCAGTGTCTAGCTTGATGCCTTTACCCACTAGGCCAAAAGTGGGCCGGATTTCCTTCCCCACCCCACCCTCAGGTGACTCTCGTGGCTATGGACTTCCCCAGGCAGGCAGGGAGGGAGGGAAAGAGGTGGCCTAACTGGGTTTGGGTGGCCTAACTGTGCTCCTTCCCATAACGCAGTTCCACAACGCGCTCCAGCTGGCCGCCTGGTGCCTTCACTACATCTGCACCAACTACAACAGTGTTTGCCGGCGGTTCCCCCGCGAGATGAAGGCCCTGTCTCCCGGTAAGCCCTACACTCGCTCGGCTGCCAACTTCCTTTCACCCACTTTCTGCCTCCCTTGGCCCAGATCCATCCCGGTCTGCACGCCAGGGAGGAACTGGGGAGGGGTGGGGGTGGGGCTCCCTTAAGGGTGGCGTGAGGGTGCCCCCCCCCCCAGCAGCAGCAGCAGCAGCACCTGGTGCCTACTGGGCTTGGCTTCTCCCCAGAGAACAAGGCCTACTTCGAGAGCCACCGCTGGCCCCCCATCTGGTACCTGAAGGAGGAAGACCGCTACCTGCGCATGCAGAAGGAGCGGGCGCAAGAGGAGGAGGAAGCCCTCCGCAAGCAGCATCCGCGCAGCAAGTGGTGCTTCTGGCGCCCCCACCAGCCCCGCCACATCTCCTGAGCAGGGACCGGGAGTGTGTGTGTGTGTGTGTGTGTGAGGGAGGGGGCTGCCCTACTGCTGGTGCCTTTGCTGTGGGGAGGCACCTCTGCCTTGTCTACCAGCTGCCTCAGTGCTCCCAGCTCTGTGCCTCTTGCCGGCTGCCATGCCTTTTTACCTGGGGAGGGCGGGGTGGGGTGGGGGCAGGGGTCCAGCATCGGTCGCTACCTCTGACCTTGGCGGGGGGGTGGGGGGTGGGAAGAGAGGGGGGAAGTGACTGTGCAGGTGATGGAGGATAAAGAGAGGGGGGGAGTGTTGTGGTGTGACTATGTGCTGTGGAAGGGGATCGGTGGGGGGATTTGGGGAGGCTGGGTGGGTGCATGAGCGGAGGAGCCAGAACCCCCTAAGTTGGAGGAGGGTGGGTGGGCGCTAGCGGTAGAAAGGGCTCCCTCTTCCGTGTCCGTGAGAGACGGGCGGTGCAAAGCAGCTTTGGGGCTGCTCCTCGGGTACCAGGCAGCCTCTGCCCAGAATCGGCCTTTTTTTGGGGTGGGGCAAAGAGGTGGGAGCCCCTGCTCTCCCCTCTTGCCCCCCCCCACCCCCGCCTGGTGCATTAAGGGAAATCGCTGCCAATAACTTTAGCAAAAAAAAGGGGGGGCGGGGTTTGTCCTGCAGAGCTGCAGTTTTTAAACCTTTTTCACTTTTTTCTACCTTTTTTTTCCCCTCAACATGTCAGCCAAGCACAAACTGACCTGGGGTGGGTGGGCCAGTGTGACCTTCCCACCCTGGACTGAAGGGCTTTGATGCCTCCAGGCCCCCGCGCCTCGTGGCCTGCGCGCATCTGCAAAACCACTGTGAGCTGGGCTAGCCCGCCACCCCTGTTTCTTACACATTTTGCTGTTGAGCTGTTTGGAATTCTTTAATAAAGAGCCTTTTGTATTGTGCACCCCGGAGTTTGCCAATACCTGTCTTGGGGAGGAAGGCACCTCCCTGACCTGCGGAGGACACGTGGGGGGGGGGGGGGGTGGGGGGGGGGACAGCACTGCTTGGTTCCATATTTCAGAGGCCCCGGGGGGCAAACGAGCCGCCCTGCGTTCCTGCTGCTCACCTCACAACTGGGGGGCAGGAGGGGGAATTTGGGGCGGCTCACCTTCTCAACCAGCAACCTAGAAGGATCAGGAGGTGATCCGCTCTGCAGGCCCTCCGGCTGCATGCAGGAAATCACGAGAAAAAGGCAAACCGCACCAGACTCTTTATCCAAACGTAACTATATTTTATTCATCAGGAAAATAAGACAAATTAGAGCTGCTTGTTCTGAAAAGCTAAAAAAACAGCAGCCTGACTACGCTGGAGCCTTCGGACTTTTAAGCAAACCCAGGTAGGGCAGGAGGACTCTGCAAAGCCACACCGGGCTGCTCTGGGGCTGCAGCCAGCATTTCCCCCAAGGAAGGGCTATGCTGCAAGCCCAACCAAGCTGCCCCTCGGCCCTGGGGCTGCGAGACAGCCGAGCAAGAGGCAGGATGGCCTCCCTGCTTAAAAGCTCCACTGTCGGTGGGGTTATCCCTGGCAGAGGGGGCACCCAGAGCTACTGGCCCAAAGGAGACGCCCTGGCACCGGAGATACCAGGACTCCCCGGGGAAGCTTGGGCCTAAAGAATAAAGGGCCTTTTTTTTGGGAGGGGGGTGGTGTCATTTTCAGACAAGGGTTTTTTTTTTGGGGGGGGGGAGGAACCCCTTCATGTTGCCGTCCTGCCCCGCTCTGGCCAAGTTGGTTTCATCACGCCACGCAAAGTCCTTCCTCTTCCTCCAGTAGTAGCTACCTGCTCCCCGAAGGGCTACACCTGATGGTACAGGATGATCTCGTTCAGCTCGAAGCCTGTGACGGCAAAGGCAGTGCCCTCCGGATTGCAGAAGCGGGCGCCACAAATCTGAGTGTCGGTCACACACTCCGTATGGCAATGCGTGATCTGCCAAGGAAATGGCGGTGTGTATGTGTCCCCCTTTCAGGCATTCCTGCTCGTTGAGAGACCCATTGCCCTAGGAAGCCCAGAAGGGCCCGACCGGAGGGAGTCCGTTCTGGGGTCTCCCCAGAGTGACCCTCCCCCAGGCCCAGAAACCTTGACCCTTACTCGATCCCAGCCAGGCACGGGGCAATGTGAGCCCATTCCAGATGAGCAAGGGGACCACCAAACTCCCCGGAGAGTGAACCAGGGAGGCTCTGAAAGACGGGTGTTTCCCCCCACCCAACCAAGTGGCCCTTGAGTTTACCTCCAGGCTGTCGGTGTCCGCCTTGTGGCTCAGCCCCCAGACCCGCACGAAGGAGTCCTCGGCGGCAGACAGCAGCTGGGCAGGAGGAAGAGACAGAAGCAAGGCCTTCAACCGGGGAGGGGGAATCTCTGGCTTTGGGATGGAGAACCTTCCCACGGGAGGCGGCTCTTCCGGGAGCGCGCCTGAGGGGCTCCCAGCTGGGCCGAGCACCCCACGCAGGTTGTGATTGTGGTGACCTACACATAACAGAATGCAGCAGCCCGCGTGGTTTTGTGCAGACCTCAAGTGTGCACGTGTGTCGCCTCTCCTGCAGGAGCTGCATGGGTTGCCCATTTGCTTCCAGGTGTAATTCCAGGTGCTGGCTGTCACCTATTCAAGCCCTTCATGGCTTGGGACCAGGTGACCTGAGGGATAACTGCCTCTTGCCGGTCACATCCAACTGACCCACCAGAGCGAGGAGGCAGGGAATGTTATGGGTCCCACCCCTGAGGGAGATACCCCTGGTGCAACCCAAAAGAAGGGCCTTCTCTGTGGTGGCTCCGTCTCTGGAATATCATTCCCCCAGAGATTAGAACGGCCCCCACTCCGATTCTCTTCCGGAAGGTGCTGAAGACCTGGTTCTGCCAGCGGGCCTGGGGAACCCCGAGTGGGATGGAGCCCATCAAATGGCTCGTTGGATCTGCTGTCGTTGGGGCGAGGTGGGTAGGGGGTGGCGATTTTTAATTTATTTACTTTCCCAGATTTTGTTCTGTTGTACTTTATTACTTTATTTGATTCTTTTTTTTGTTAATTTTTATTCTTTTATTTTACATATGGTTTTACGTTCTAGAAACCGCCTCAAGTCGCCATGGGCAAATAGGCAGCAATATAAATTCGATAAATAAATAATAAATAACCGTTTTCCCATCAGGGGTTGAGGACCTCCACCAGCTCCGCAGAGTCTGCCCGCCACCTGCGCCAAGGCAGCAGCTCAGGCAGAGTCCTCCCTTGTCAAAGGTTGGGATGGAGAACCAAGGAAGCTGACCAGTGCCCCACAGAGGCCTCTTACCAAACTCTGGCTCGCCCCTCTCCCGTCAGGATGGGCTCACCTTCCCCGAGAGCGGGGCCAGGTCCAGGGCATAGATCCAGCGGGCGTGAGCATTGACTTGGGCTCTCAGGGTCCCGTGCGCCGCTTCATACAGGCGAATCTGCCCATTCCCATAGCCAGCTGCGATGACCCCGTTCCACAGCTTCACGGAGGAGCAGGTGCAACTGGCGAGCAAGAAGGGGAGGAATCGGGCCCTGCTGGAGCTCAGAGCAGGGCCGGTTCTGCCACGAGGAGAGGGCACCCCCCGCTCTGCACAGCCAACCTAGCCTTCTTGCTGCGCAGAACTTGCACCTGCCCCCGCCCCACCCGCCCTCCCCCTCCGGTCCCCCTCTCCCCCACCGGCCCATACTCAGAAGCTGGGATTTTGTTGATCAGCCTGAAGGTCTCTCCGGAGCCCCAAACGCACAGCGCCCCGGAGTCATCAGCCGTCACCAGATCCGCAGCTCCCTCCTGCAGCAGGGGGATAGACAGGATGGCCGTTGCAGTTCCTAGGCACGTGGCCTCTCAAAGGCCGGCCTGAACGGCGGCCAGAGGGACCCAGGCAGCCACGCAGAAAGGCCAAAGGCCTGAGCATTGCTCCCCACCCCCAACAGCTTAAAGAGTCCCAGGCCCAGGAGAGGCAGCCCAGAAGGGGCCTGGGGGGGCTCAGCCTGGCTTTACCGGCTGCTCACAGAGCTCCGCGCCGATGTCCGTGATGGGGCTGCTGTGCTGCTCGAGGACTTCGCTCAGTGTGATGTTGGTGCCTTTGGCGGGGACGTCAAAGACGAGGACCGAACCGGTGGATGTCCCTGCAAGGGGGATGGGAAAACCAGGGTTGCCTGCGGAGGCACCAGCAGCCTCACGCTGTCCAATGAGGCTGCCCCCCGCCCTGGCCACAATGCCCCCCCCCACAAGTCTTACTCACCTACACACACGAAGTGCAGTCCAGTCCCTGCAATCCCCCGGGCAAACAGCAGCATTCCTGGTGGGGGGCAAGAGGCAGAGATGACCGTGCAGGGAGGAAGCACCCCCGCCACTCCCTTCGGACAATTCCAGGGCCCAGGAAGCCCCCCCACCCCACCCCGGGGGGCGGGGTGGAATTCGGAAGGATCCTACCCAGGCCCCGCTTCTGGGGCAGCCAGGTGGGGGAGAGTGCAGGTGCGTGGATGGCCAGCGTGGGGACAGTACCTGCCGAGGACTCCATGCCGTCCAGCGCGTGCCAGTAGACCATGGCGGAGCCGTCGGGCTCGTACATCTGCCGGGAGAGGCGGAAGGGCCGGTTGGGCGCAGGTCTCCCCT